AGTGTACTGACCTGATATCGGTTAGATACTTTGCTGCCAGATCAAAATGGATGTTAAACGACGTAGTTTGGAAGGTAAAACAGCAATTCTCACCGGATCTACTCAAGGTATAGGATTCGCAATCGCAAAACGCTTAGCTCAAGACGGAGCATACGTAATTGTCAGTAGTCGAAGGAGTGATAATGTAAAAAACGCGGTAGAAGAATTACGTAGGAATGGACTTCGAGCTGATGGAATAGCGTGCCATTCGGGCAACGCCGAAGACAGAAAGAAACTGATTGAACTTGCTCTAAACAGAACGGGCCGTATCGATATCTTAGTATGCTGTGCCGGTGTTAATCCTTACGTGGGCAGTTTCCTCGAAACTAAAGTAGAAACTTGGAAAACTATCTTGGATATTAATGTAATTTCACTCTTTGAGTTAACTAAAGAAGTTATTCCTTATTTAGAAAGACAAAATGGTGGTGCCATTTTATACGTCTCGTCAAGTGGCGCTTACAATCAGATAGAAGTGATTGGAGCCTATTGTGTGAGTAAGACTGCAGTATTAGGTTTGACCAAAGTTATGGCCATGTCGTGTGCTTCTAAAAATATTAGAGTGAATTGTATTTGTCCTGGTTTAATAAAAACTAACTTCAGTAAAGTAATTTGGTCAAATTTTCCCACTGTGGTAGAAATGATACCGTTAGGGAGAATTGGCGATGCGGAAGAGTGTGCCGGTTTGGCTGCCTTATTATGTTCTGATGATGGAAGTTATATCAGCGGAGAAAACATCGCTATTGCAGGTGGCACAATGTCACATTTATAACCATTTATTACATTAGATTATATATATTTCACTAATATATAAAAATTATCCTTTGTAATTAAAATTGTGTGTGTGTGTGTGTGTGTGTGTTAATTAAACATTGCAAATAAAATACTCTAAACGAAATTAATAAGCATATCAAATTACTAATTTACAATGATATTAATTTTATAATTTAAATCATTAAATGTTTTATTTACATGTATGTAAGCATTTTACACAAGTATTGTATCAATCTGCAAATAAATTCATTTGGCTACCATAAAAAATTCTAATCATTTTTCTATTTAATGAGTTAAACAATTCAATCTTATCTCAATTTCGATTATTTAATCAGAACCAAGATAAGACAGGAAACTAATTATAAACAAGATATGAGTAAAATATTTCCTTATTCACTATATAAATTTGAATTTACAATATATATAGTTTTATATTTACAGTTTAAAAAAAATATATATATATATTTTTTTTGTTTGTTTGTTTTCATTTTCTTTATGATCTTTGACACATTCCAACTAACTAATACAGTAGAACCTCAAAAACTCGGCTCTTGATAACCCGGCACTCCGGATAACTCGGCCACACCCTGGCAGGGCAAAACAATCCTTAGTTAATTAATTTTCATTATAGACAGCTTTATAAAAGTATAAAAGCTCTCATAAAGTATTTTTCTGAGGTCTGTCTTATCAGGTAAATTACTGTACACAGTGTATTCATTAATTTTCATTTTCATGTAGTAAAGGCTCTATGCCTTCATAAAGTATGTACTTTTCCTTTGTTTAAGGGTATTTGGGCAGTTTATTCTCTGTTGTATTCTCAAGCAAACAATACATACAAGTACAGTACAGTATTTTCTGAGGAAACACGCATACTTATCCTTTTTTAACCCCATTTCCGATAACCTGGCATTTTCACAAACTCAGCCACCGTTCGGTCCACATTAGGCCGAGTTTTCGCGGTTCTACTGTATTGGATACAACTCATTTAACATTATACGCTCAAAACTGATCCTACATATTAATCAGAATATTTTGATTCAACTTATCAGTTTTAGTAAAATTATCAATTGGTTATAACATTTTTAAACAAAATTTCCTGTAAAATAAATATTTATTCAACTGATAATTAATCAAATTTATAAGTACTTATCTTGAATTTATATTGCTAGGTTATTTATTCAAATCAGTATCAACTGCTATATTATACAGTATAGTATCAAAAATATGTGTATGATAGACAGAAATACTTATAATCTTGCATAATTTGATTTCTTACAGTATGTCCAAAAAGTTACTGTTTAGTGAGAAATTTGTAATGACATTAATGTTATATATATGTACAACATTGCATATGAGACCTCTAAATCATATGTCCTGTGTTTCCACTTTGCAATAGTGTGTTAATGCTTGCTCACAGATATTTGGCTTTGGACTATACTTTTTTTGAAGACTTCTTTGCTGATCACATAATCTCCTATGAAATGAGGCCTGCTAGGTCTCTGCACCTCACTTCCCCAGATATCCAGTATTTGATGTGAGATAAACTGCAATATCATTCATAAAACTTCACTATTATTAAAAGTTTACTTAATAAACCATAGTAATTTTTTGGTATTATTGTATAGGATTCAATATAATAAAAAAGAAAATAAAGGTTGATAAAAGAATAAAATAAAATTTTAAAACAATTTCATATGGAAAAATGCAAAATCTAATGGCATGCATCTCAGTGTAAATGAGAAATTAAACAAACAATTGTATTAAAATTTTATTCAATATTATATTTTTCATTTTCATAAAATAACTGCATATTTTACAGTTTTAATTCTACCATAAATATCACTGTAGAAAGGTTAACCCAACTAAGAATCATCAAATAATACATAAGGTAGAAGATATTGCAAAAGATTTAACTAAGCTCTGCAGAATCCTGCAAATTGGAGAGCCCAAAGGTCTGAGAACACCAGAAGTTCAAAATTAAATATATTGCTATCAAATAAAAACTATTAAATAAAATTTTTTTTACATAATATAAAAAAAGGACTTAAAAAATTTAAATTTTATTTTTTATTAGTGATAAAATTGAAACATTTTGCAATGACTTCATGATTATCATTATGCCATAGACAACAACTTTAAAGGTAAAGCTATTTCTATACATTGAAAGTGGGATGTATTGCTAAATTTTACAGTAAAACAACAACCAGAAGCCAAATGACAATTTGAAGAATACAAAAACATACTTAACAGTGCTAAACAACTTTTTAAAATAAGCATATTTTATAAGACTATGGATGTTAAACATGTAAATTAACAAAATATTGTAGTCATATCACAGATTTCCCAAACAATTTTTTTACAACCTAAACCCTGTTAACTTAATCAAAATATTTAAGGAAATCAATATTATTTTACAAGAACATTATTCTGAAGATTTAGCAAACAATTTCCTTGTACAATTGTTAAATGGAATATCTTTTATTAAAAAATAAAATAATTACAGAAACTATTATAAAGTGACTAACTTTATATGGTTTCATGGAAAGTAATTTCTTGAAAGTTAACATAGCTTTTGGTGACTATCCATCCAAAAAAATTTTGCAACAAGCCTCAAAATTATAGTTATGTCATTTGCAGACCATCTCATTTCTTTTTTTTTTTTTAAGAGCTTGAGTAGAAATATCATTGTGTTAAAATTAAAAATTATATGCAAAATAATATAAAATGATTAAGACTAAGATTTTTCTATGCTAGCTAAAGGAAATGCAACAGCTCAAAAATTAGATCAAGATAAAATATCGGAGTTTATTCACCAAAAGTCTAAAAGAAACTGAAATTTAATTTTTATTTTATTGCTTTATTTTTTCATTTTATGCAAGTTATTTAAAAGTATTATTGATATAACAACTTATATACAAAAATAGAAAGCAAACTTATAAAGCCAAACTTAACTGTGATTAAAAATGTTAATTTCATAATCAATAGCAATCACTTTTTAAGTTTCATTATTTTACACTAATAGTGTTTGATATTATTGAGTAACTGACTATCAATGAAGTACTCTCCAATTATCAAAGTCAGAAAAACACTATTTAATTAAATATTGTTATTGCTGTTTGATGTTGCTGATATCAGGAATTACCAAAATTTGATATTTTATATTTTCATTTCCATTCACCAAGGATTAGATTTTTCTCCAATATTGCACAGTATAATTTTATATTATAACTTACTGATGTTGGAAATTAACAATTATGTAAAATTGATAATTCAAAAAACTGTAATCAAAAACATAAATTTAATTGTGATCCAAAAAAATCAAAAAGTTGCCATCATTAAATATAAGAATATATTAATAAATTCATAAAATTCTGTGTTAGGAGAAAATATGATTAATTTATATTTTCACATATTTATTAATGTAAATTCACATCATCATCATAACATTTAAAAGTGATTTATAATGCAAAGTAATACTATATAATTTTTTTCTATTATTTCATATCAAATATCAATAAACCAATTAAGTTTTATTCTGGATTTATAATACATAACTGTAAAACTTGATCAGTCTGTGATCAAAAACTGAAAATTTATAAAAGCACATAGATTTAAACAATGGTTTATTGCTAAATTTTACAGTAAAACAAAAACTGAAAGCAAAATGCCAATTTGAAGAATACAAAGATACACCCACAACTGCTGTAAATGATCAGACTAAATTTGGATATAATGATTATAATTTAGAACTGAATTTGGCACTAGAGTTAGGCACCATCTTGTAACTGGCAATGCATCCGCACGGTAAGTGGAAGTTGTGGGTTCAAGTCCCGCTTTGGGCCAATTCTCTTCTTCCAGTTTAATCTAAATCAATTAATTAAAATATTATTATTATTATTAATTTTAATACGAGATGGCACCTAACACCTCACTCTAGTGCCAAATTCATTTCTAATTTATAATCATTATATCCAAATTTAGCCCAAACATTTATGGCAATTGTGGATATATATTTGCTTAATGTATCAGGTTTCAGTTGTGTATATTTTTATACAGAGATATACTTAACAGTGTTGAACAATTTTTAAAAATAAGTGCTAAAACTACTTTAAAATAAAAATACATGATTATATAAATCTTTCTATTGCTAAAAAGTTAGTTAAATGTATTAAAAAATGAAAATCATTTTTTCAGTTTTTGACTAGAAGATATATACATTTAATACATAACAAAAATGTGATATTTTATTATACATACAGTTTATTTACTTGTTAAATAAATTAAATGAATTCATTCCATTTTGATGCAACTGAACTGTTTGAGTTCAATGATTTTGTGTTCTTATCTGTAATCAAAACATCTTCATTTTTATTAGAAACCAATTCTTCTTTATCTTGACAAATATTTCTGCTTTCCTTCCTAAATAACAAAGAATTGAAATTAATAATTTTGACATATAATTTTTAATTACAATCAAATTTTCATACGAGAGATTTCTATTCTGTAAAATTTTCTTCTTAGAAATCTTTTAAAAATTCTTCAAAAATTCTAAAGGTTTAAGAAAGCTTTAGTCAGATTTTAAAAACTCTGACTCAAACTTTCATAAAATTTTTATTTCTTCATTACATTATGTATAAAATTAACAGCAATTGTATTCAAATAGAAGTTATTTTCTAAATTTGGTTACATCAGTAAATCAGTTAAAAAAACAAAAAAGTTTAAAATAAATTTTTATTATTTCTTTGCCAACTTCATGATTATCATTATGCCATAGACAACAACTTTAAAGGTAAAGCTATTTCTATACATTGAAAGTGGGATGTATTGCTAAATTTTACAGTAAAACAACAACCAGAAGCCAAATGACAATTTGAAGAATACAAAAACATACTTAACAGTGATAAACAACTTTTTAAAAGAAGCATATTTTATAAGACTATGGATGTTAAACATGTAAATTAACAAAATATTGTAGTCATATCACAGATTTCCCAAACAATTTTTTTACAACCTAAACCCTGTTAACTTAATCAAAATATTTAAGGAAATCAATATTATTTTACAAGAACATTATTCTGAAGATTTAGCAAACAATTTCCTTGTACAATTGTTAAATGGAATATCTTTTATTAAAAAATAAAATAATTACAGAAACTATTATAAAGTGACTAACTTTATATGGTTTCATGGAAAGTAATTTCTTGAAAGTTAACATAGCTTTTGGTGACTATCCATCCAAAAAAATTTTGCAACAAGCCTCAAAATTATAGTTATGTCATTTGCAGACCATCTCATTTCTTTTTTTTTTTTTAAGAGCTTGAGTAGAAATATCATTGTGTTAAAATTANTTGGCCAAACATATGATGCAAATATTGATAACAGCAGCATTGAAAAAATATTGCATAATAATGTGTTATATGAAAATGTAATTTAATTATTATTATTATTTTAAAATACCTGATAATTTTATTTGCATGGATACTTGTTAAATCAGTATCATCATCCATTTTCTCTTCTTCTTTTTCTGACAAAAATTTTGACCATTTGCTAGTGCAGGGGACTTGAAGCTAAAGATAATTAAAAATAAATAAATATATGTAATTTCAAACAATGATCATTATATTATATTATATGAAATATAAATATAATAAGTAAAAGTATATAACGTATAAACTTTTATTTATTAATATGTAATTTGTATAATGTACATTTGTAACTGGATAATACCCTGTTAGCCATAATAATGAAGTTTTAGTACTTTTCTTCCCTTTTTTCATTGAACTTCACAGATATCCACAGATGTATGTATGTAGTGTAAAAGCTCAAACATGCATAACTTCTGATAATTGCATCTTTTGTAAAAAAATATTTTAGATAAAAAGTTTGTTTTTGATATAGAATCATAAAATACAGTAAAAAATAGGGGTTTCTATTTCAGAAAATGAAGTTGATCCTGTTTTCACACATTGTAGGGTCTACCTACAATAAAGCCAATAATCCCATTTTGTGGTTCCTTTAAAATTTACATTTTTAGTTCAATGACTTTTTTGTAAAATGTATATTTTTCACATTACTCCAGTGGATTGATTAAAATAAACCATCTGTATATTTTTTAAAATATTAATTGCTTAATTATTTGCCAATCTGAAACAGTGTTGCAATTCTTACTTGTTGCTTAAACACTATATAGTATAATTAATTGATCATTTGGCATTCCTATAGAAGATAAAGAAAACCTAAAAATGAAATATATTACCTTCTCATATATTAAAGGTCTGTATTTAGAAATTAATAAAGGAACAAGTAATGTAAAACTCGTACCGATATATAAAAAACTGTCATCTAGACTTAAAACTCAAAAATCCATACAAAAAGGAAAATAAAAACCAGAAGAAACAAAAAACATTATATACCAAATCCCATGTACAGTACCTGCAATGCAACAAAATTCTACACTGGAGAAACAAAATGAAGAATGAAAGTAAGATTAAAAGAAAACATGTTGCAGATTTAAAACATCGTAGAATCAACTCCATTTTTCATGAACATTGTACAACAAATGATTGCAATATTGATCAGAATAATATAAAAATTTTACACAGAGAAAAAGAAGCATATACTGGAAAATTCAAGAAAAGCATGAAAATTCTTAAAAACAAAAATTGTAGAAATAAAAATTTGAGTATAAAAGTAAATGAAAACTGGTTGAAAGTATTATAAATAAATTTCCAAAAACCAAAAGTATTTTAAAATTTAAGACGAAAATATATTATAAGTACAATTGTATAAGTATTAGAATTAGATAAAAATTGAATGAGAAAGATCTGGAAAACTTTATTAATAATTATTTCTTAAATATAAAAAATAATAATTACTATAATCTGAAAATTCACTAATAATGAGTTTTAAGAAAAGTAAAATTATTGATCAATTATTCGGTCATTGGTTGGCAACCAAATTACGTGAGAATATGCTAATTAGCACGGTACTATGTAGTAAAAGCATAGAGACAATATAAGAAGTTATATGTGTAGATACATCTGTTTGTGCTATATAGTTTTACTAGCTGTTAGCCGTGACTTCGCCCACGTGGATTTTGCAAGCAAATCCCATTTATATTCAGTATTTCAACAACCATAGTAATTTGTTTTTTGAAACAGTGTTTTCATATTTATTTACTATTGAACACAAGACTGTGTTATTATTAAAACACTTGGCGTTTATCCACTTTATTCAGTTGATACGGGCACTTTTACACGTTTCGGGCGTATAGCCCCTCATCAGTCAACTGATAAGAAGAAACATTTACATTAGATTATCACATTCTTTAAAAAATTTATATAATGATTCTAAAACATATAACATTTAAGACATACCATTTAAAAAATTTCGATGATACACGTACAGCACAAGTTATTATTTACTGCTGTTAGGATAAGTTGATAACAATGATAACATAAACCTACATACATTAAATTAAAAAAATAAAAGAATTTATTCTAAATGACAGCAATGATCGCACACCAAAAATCAACATTCAACTAAAAACTCATAAGCCAGGTGAAAAAATAAGACCCATAATAGACTTTAAATACGCAACGTTATACAACCTAGAAAAATTTTTAAAACAAAAACTTAAATCTATTCAAAATTCCAGATTTGCCATATTAAATACAGACGAGCTTCTAAAAGACATCACAGATATACAAATAGAAAAAAGTTTTAGAATTGCCAGTCTGGATATTGTTGATATGTACCCCTCCATGTCATGGGAAATAGTAGAAGAAAAACTAAAACAGATTAATATAGAACCAGAGATAATAGACCTAATAGAATTTTCTTATAGAAGTAACTATTTCGAAATTAACAAGAATTATTATACTCAGAATGAAGGTGTTAGTATGGGATCTGTTATTGGACCGAAGCTTGCCGAAATAGTGATGATAGACATAGACGAAGTAATTAACAAAATACAAGGAATAATAATTTATAAACGATACGTAGATGATATTCTGATTATATACGACAATAAGAAAATAACAATTGAACAGATAGAAGCAAGAATAAATAATATACATAAAGGAATTGAGTTTAAGATAGAAGAAGAAGACATCGTCAGTAATAGTATAAATTATTTGGACATAGTTATTAAAAGGAATGTGAATAGCTTGGAATTTGAACCCTTCAAAAAGTCTTGTGCCATTAACACAACTATAAAATACGATTCTCATATACCACTACATATAAAACAAAACATCTTCAATATGGAATATAATAAAATTAAAAATAGAACCAGCAAACCCATCAATATGGCCAAACACATATATGATTTAAAAAAGAAATTTATCTTGGATGGATACCCCAATCGATTAATTAGTACATGGGAAAAGAAAATAAATGATAAAATAAATAACAAGAAACATAATCAGAAAAAACAAAGCCCGGATATTAAATATATTAGTTTTCCGTATATAAAAGGTTTATATGAAGAAATTAACAAAGAAATGCAGAAAATAAACATAAAACTAGCACCTAAGTACGAAAAACTTCAAGCCAGAATAAAAGCCAAAAAACAAAGTAATGAGACTAAAGAAGAAACCAAGAACGTAGTATATGAAATCCCATGTACTTGTAAAGATACTAATATTTATATGGGTGAAACCAAACGAAAATTAAACATAAGATTAAAAGAACACATTGCTGATATGAAATATCACAGATTAAATTCAGTTTTTCATGATCATTGCCTATTAAACAACTGTAACATAGATAAAACTAATACAAAAATCTTATATAAAGAAAAGAACACATATAGTAGGAAATTTAAAGAAAGTGTAGCTATAATAAACTCTAAAAATTGTTTAAACAAGAATCTAAGCATTAAAATAAGTAAAGATTGGCTAAAAATATCGTAATAATGAAAGATAGTTGGTGTGTTTTAGAAAAATTCTAAAAATTTTAAAAAATATTTTAATGTGTTCTGTTTATTTAAATACCTTTGGCTATTACAAATATTATGTAAAATCCGACCATCATAAATGGTAAAATGCAAATTAGCAATAAGACTCAATATTATGTAATGTCCAACAAACAAATTTGTTATAATATGCTAAGTGAGGTTTATCTGATTCTGTTATGTGCAAATGAAAGGTTGTGAGAAACCAACCAAATATATTCATTAATCATTAGAAAGGATTCTGACTATATATTTATCAACTTTAGTAAGAAGATAAAGGATGTGTTACGCCTACTTAACAGTAAGAAACAATAGTAAACAAAAATTAGTATAGTTCTGTGCGTTGTCAGTATAAGCGTGTATATTTATACGGCGGTTTATTTTTAATTTAATGTATGTAGGTTTATGATATCAAAGTTATCAACTTATCCTAACAGCAGTGAATAATAACTTGTGCTGTACAGAGTGTCATTGCATTTTTAATGGTATGTCTTAAAAGTTACATGTTTTAGAATCATTATATAATTTTTACAAAATGTAATAATCTAATGTATATGTTTCTTCTTATCAGTTGACTGATGAGGGGCTATACGCCCGAAACGTGTAAAAGTGCCCGTATCAACTGAATAAAGTGGATAAACGCCAAGTGTTTTAATAATAACACAGTCTTGTGTTCAATAGTAAATAAATACGAAAACAC